TGTGTGTGTGTGCATGTGTGCGTATGTATGTATGCCAGCACGTGTACTGATCAGAGAAGTGCTGAATAATTGGGACATCTCTTAATAATAATAATTAGATATGCAAGTTGGCGCACTACCAATATTAAATATGTGCATCCACACACACACACACATAAACTTAGCAAAGTCGTAAAGTATGCAGAGAAGTGGACTAGTGCCAAAACAAGCCGTTGGGCTTTAGGGCCTCATTTCCATGTTGGAGCCCATTTTAACTAGCAGACTGACTCGTCATTAATAATTAACAGTCATAGTGACGCTCAGAAACAAAGCTCTGATAGAAACATGGGAGAATATCTTCTACCAAGTGCACAGATGCACAGACATACGAGTAAAAAGAGCCTGAGAAAATAAGTGCACCACTCCCCCTCACCTTTTCAAGGACTTTGTGCATTTACCTTTCATATTATTCTGTGCCTGTTACTTCACTCACCATACAAAGAAACTCTGCTGTTTACTTTTCACGCTCTGACAACTCACCCAATTCTCTTACCAGTCTCTCTCTATGCAAAAGTGTCTAAGTACTTAATTCGCACCATTTCTCAATTCCATTTTTCTCCCTTTCTTTATTAACTCTCACCACAGAGCTAGCAGCTCAAATCTATGCATACACTGTGCCATTATTTCCATCCCCAGAGTTTCTATTCTCCCTTTTTGCAGCTCAAAGCCCACCTCGCTCTGGTCTCTGTTGCGGACATCCTCAGTGGATGCTGGTTAGACATGCCTGTCACTACGCTGCTGGGCAGAGGGACAGACATCAATATATTGCAGCTCTGCTGCCCCTACTCATCTGTAGAGGAACACTACGTGGCAGGGGGGAGGTGGTGGGAGGGTTGGGAGTCGGTTGAGGAGAGATGGGGGGTGGAGGTGGGCCCTGCCATCCTTCAGTCTGTGCTGTCTGATTTACAAGCCTATTGGATTTTAGACTAACATGAATCACTGCTCCATAGAAGCATTACTCCCTGACAGCATGACAGAATGAATGAGACACATCAGCCCCTCTGTGTGTGTGTGTGTGTGTGTGTGTGTGTGTGTGTGT